CCACAAATTCTCCTAAATCACTCGTACGCACAACTTAAGAACAAATCTGTGCGTACGAACGGTTCTTGCATGAGGCCCAATGAGAGTATTTACACTGGCCCCGCACAGCGGCGGTGATCCGCCAAAATTAGATCTGATCCTACTTTTGCCGGACGCCAGAGCTGCTCCCGAGTCAATCTACAAAGATCACATCGCACCAACAAGAATAGGAACAAACAACATCCGTATTTTCAAAATAAAACACCATAAGACGGACTTATTTTGTGGAAATCCCAGCTATATTAATCAATATATGGATATATTTCTACACAAACACTGTCAGAATGTATGGTTCTGTTTGGGAAGCAGATGGAAACATGTAGCATATGTGTCGACACGCGTAGATTTTATTTTGAAATCAGAAGTTTCAGAAAGACAACAGTGATACAGTTTCAACCACAGATATCAAACGTTTTTATACATCAATGTTTTCAGCTGTTTGGAGTTGGTCTTTCACAGAATTCATTATCGTTTGCTCTGACTTCCACAATTATCGTGCACTTTCCTTCCTGCACACGCTTCCTCCTCTGTGCGTCGCACCGGGGTTCAAACAAACAGCTATGACCTGCGCACTGCAGCGGAGCGGAGCCACATGTAGTGTAAATCCAGGGTGACAGAGTCGAAACAGATGGTGTGTGAAAGGTAAGCCGGTGCTGTTGATCAATAGTTCTAGAGCAGTACTACGTTAACGTAGCAGAACCAGGGTTTCCTCCAGTGTACTGGAGCCAAGAGTTCCCTTAATTGACACAAAACTGTCAGAATAAGAGTCTAAGACATTTAAAGTGGCACCGGCAGAGGGTTTTTTGCACCACCGGATGTTGAGACAACAGGATAAGCAGCTAAGTCCTAGCATTAGCTCAGCTCACCCCGCCCACCTATCAGTCAAAACGTCACCATATCAACCAGCCTTAAGTTTTCAGAGGGAAACACTAAGCAAGTTTTATTTTATTTTTTTTACACGTGGCCCTTTGTGTCTAACGAGAATCATCAACCACTAAGATTTCACCAAATCCCAACATTCCTCCTTCAATTTGTTTTAATTATTTTTGTAGCTAGCTTTTTTTGGTTCCTCCATACTGGTTTTGTAACTACAAGCTAAATGGTAGCCCACGAACATGGCGCCGCCGGTATAAAAGTACCCGTAAGATGACGTCACTCATCGTGTTTCTCAGAACGACACGAGGCGAACGTTTAATGCGTCACACTCCAGTTCAGTTCTGCTCCACGATTGTTGTTTCCACAAAGCTCGCTCCGTTTCTTAAAGCTCACGTCTGAGCGGGACGTGGCTCCATCAGTGATTTAAGAACCATGCAAGGCAGCATAAAGACAGAGCGAATGCTTTAGAAAACAGCCTAAAGAGGATTTTACATTTGTAAATAATTCAGATGACTGCAAGTAAACGCCAAGTAAAATATGTCTGAGTTTGTAACGTGACAAAACGTAAGTTTTCCCATGAATTGTTGGTAAAATTGTCTATTTGACCAATTAACAGAAAGGAAAACAGCATTTAAAGGTGACAGTTATCAAGATGTGTTTCCTGTGCTACAGTGGACAAATAAACAGGATCTCTCTCTTTGTGTTTTTAAACAAACCAGGTTCAAAATAAACAAATCAAAGCTGGTGAAGAACCACTGAACCCTGTTTGTCAAAAAAATGTTTTAAAATTTAAAGATTAGGCGTGTTTTACATAATAAGATGTTTACAGACACTAGCATCAACTCGGTGTTGCCAATAAACAGGTGACGTCTTGTACCAATAAAACAAATTTCTTACCTATATTCCGAAAGTTGTTTGTTTTAACGCCGAAGATCTCGCGAGATTCTGAAACACGATTCGCTTCTTTGCGTTATTTATTTATTTATTTTTGACGTAAGTTAATTTTTTTCCCGTAACGAATAACGAGAAGTGTCATTAGCCAACAAGCTAGCTGACAGATTTATGAGCATTGTATCAAGTTAACAGTTTAAATAAATAAAACTGTTGATTTGGATCTGAACGGAAGTGTTTTTTACGTAATGTGTTAGCTCATCTTCCTCCACGCGCACCATCAGTGTTATCCTTGCTAACAAAAAAAAAAAAAAAAAAATCAACTCAAACAGAACGATCGAAGGCTCGGGCCAACATTCAGGATGAAATTACAACAACATTTATTCAGTCCGCGGTTGTGCGCCGCCGTGTTTAATAAAACACGCAAACAAACGATTTCAAACATGACAATCAAGGAACAGGAACAACTCCACTCCAGCACATAGACGCGGCCCTACCCCCCTACCACCACCACCGACTGCCCTGACTCCAGCACATAGACGCAGCCCTTCCCCCGCGCTGACTGGGCTCGTTTTGTTTTTGTTTGTTTGTTTTCGGTTGTTTACGCAGCTGAGCGCCGACATCAAACGAAAACGTGGACGGGCGACGAAGCGCCCAGCCAAGGTTCGTCCCGAACCCCGGGCCGCGGGTTCCGAGCCGCCCGTCTCGGTCGCTTCGCAAAACTTACCCGCTCTATTGTGTCTGGACCTCCGCCACCGTCGAGGCTGGCTGCTGCCTGTCGCCCTCTGCGGAACGGAAGTAGCCTCCCGCGGCTGCAGCAGGCTGAGCGGCACCGGCGCTGCTCTGGAAACTGGACCGAGCCCAGCACCGTGTGTCACAGCTTCAGTATTTAATTCAGCTCTTTAACAGAACAGGTGATTAAACCTGAACATAAATAAAATGAAACACACATCGTCTTTTATTTTTATAAAATGTGTTTATTTATAAGGTTTTTAAAATCTGGAGGCAGAAAATGTTTTAATAAAAAGGGTTTTTATTTTATTTTTAGATCTTCAGCTATGACTACAACCATCCAACCACTGAAACCTAAAAAAACAAAATTCAACTGACCTCAGGTCTGATCTGAGAATTACTCATGTTGTGTAATGATGGAGTCTGGGAGCAGAAACACAACATGCATCATCCTGACAGCTCATTTTAACACTTTAAACAGGTTAATGTGGAGTTTTATTTATTTAGTCAGGATTTTATGGTCTGTAAATGACATTTTAGGTCTTAATATCTGCACCTGGTAGTTATTTATAAATTACATGTAATTTGGGAAATATTTGGTGTACTGAGGCTCCGACTCATAACCTTTAATCTGGTTGAGTTTTAAGTTTTAAAGCGATTTATTTTATTAATGTCAATCTCATTTTCACTGACAGCCACATGAGCATCAAGTTTGTAATTAATGTCAAACTCCTGAGCACTGCCAACAAACAACTGAGCTCTACCTGGTATTTCCTGCATAGAAACAGTGTTTTAACAGGTCCTCTTATAAACACTGAAAGTACTATGTGTACAACTGACTAAATGTGAAATAATAAGACAGAAATACTATTAAAAAACAAGTTTTACTCACTGTTGAGTTGTAGCTGCTAGCCGCCACCTTGAATTCTCGCCCACTTTCCCACTGGTAATTCCCACTGAAGGGGCGTTGTAGTTTAAATTACAACTTGTAAGTGGGAAATTCCCACTTCCCAGTGCGACTTGGTCAGCAAAAATGCATCAAAATGGTGATTTTACACTGCGAATTTCACAACTTTTATATCCTGGTGTAGGGATGCTGTCATGTTGTAGGTCAAATAATCACCATGCATTCTGGGAAATGTAGTTTATGGTAAATTCTGGCTTTAAATGAGCTAATTTTAAGACTTTAATACATCTTTAAAGCTCTTGCGGGCCACATAAAAGGCTGTGATGGGCCACATCTGGCTCACAGACCTCAATCAAGTTTGACACGTGATCTACATGGATAAAAGTTCTCCATCCGATAGAACCTTTTGTTCAGCAGCACTTCACATTTCCTGTTTGGAAGACCGACTTACTTTTATTTCTGCAATAAATCATGTTATCCAGTCAGGCTGTGGAGGATCCAGGTCCAGGACAGAAACCAGACCAGGAAATCCAGAGCGTTGCCTTTCAACTCGAGCCTTTCTTCACCAAAGACAAAGACCCCGATCCATCGATCAAGTCCATGTCTGTGGAGGTGGTTTACGCTGAATCTGGTCCAGGAATCCGAGTCTTCTCGAGGCCCACATGGAGGTGGCCTCCTGTCCCTTTTGGACCGAGCCCAGCTCCAGGAACCAAGGTGCGTCTCATCATTATTCCAGAAGTCTTTGAGTTCGTTGGGATGAAACTTTAGCTCTGTCAGTTTTTGTCCTTGACCTTTGACCTGCTCACTGAGGCCTGTAGGGATGCTCAATTCTCTGAGCACTGCATGGTCTGACCTTGGGGTGAATATGTCGAAACAATCCTGTGAAAACTAAATGTTTTCCTCTTGTAACGAATGGACTCTCAAGTAGTTTGACCTTTGACCCTTCACAGATGGAGGGGCAGCAGCTTCTTTAAGGTCATTGCTGTTGACTTTCTGCCCTGGCGTTGTGCTAACACACACACACACACACACACACACACAC